CTTTTTTTTAATTCCTGATATTTATGTAAGTGCTTACTCTTATGTAACAAACATACTGTTTAGATAAATTAAGCCAGTTTTTGATGTAAAATAATATCTTTTAATTTATTTGAAAAGTTATTGTTTTAGCTACATAATAGAAGAGGAACTGACAATTGCTATATCATTTTAGGTATATAAATACATTTAAGGTAATTAAATAACTTTGTTCTATGCAAAATGTATGTGTATGATAGGAAATGAATTCATCAATAGAGGAAACCAATGAAAGTGAGAATTCAAATTGAATATTAATGATTTATATCATGGTCAACTGCTTTTTATAGCATAATCATGTTTATGTTTATTTTTCAATACTTTTTACAACTCTTTAAGTGATATTTGAATAATTTCTATGTTGTTTAATAAAAGAGTAAGAGGAATAATTTAACTGAAACGTTTTTAGCCAAAACCATAATTATTTGTCTATTACATAGTATTTCATTTTTAAAATATGTGTGGTAATTTGTTAGCATTATTACAATGATAGTTATAATATGTGGGTATTTAAGTTATTAAGGACAGTTAAGACATTTAAGTTATTGAGGAGGAGACAGCTCAACAGGATAGTATACATATATTTATCGATTGTGTTGAAATTTAGTTAGTTTTGTATCAGAAGTTTCGAGTTAACATTAATGTAGAAGTTATTAATATATATATATATATATATATATATATATATATATATATATAATGTAAAAGTTTTAATGTATCGAGGTCAACTTCCGAAGAGTAAAAAACATTTCGCAATCACTATCATAAAGAAAAAGACATCTTACTCATTCAGCCGTTATAGTTAAATGAAGTTTTTACAACAGACGCAAATAATAAAATAAAAATTAACATAATCTTACCTTTACTTGACAATGTGTATCACTTTTGAAACATAAACTTTAATTCACTAAAGTATGCCGATTCACTGATTAAAAAACACTAATATTCATATGTAATTTAATGTTACAACATATAACTTGCACAAGATCTTTGTTTAGAAAAATATTATATTCAAATGTAAATAAAGTACGATTGAACTTATTTAACACAACGAAAACAAAATAAACACACTCAACTCAAATGACCTAATCGAACTGACTGAAGTTAGTAAATTAATAAATTCAAATGAGTTTTATTTCGGAATGAGTGTGTCAAGTGTCACTTATGATAACTGACATTTGACTAAACCTGAATTCGTGACTGACGTTGACTTGTATTGATTACATACTATGCTGTTTGCTAGTAAACTTTTATATTTAAAAAAAAATTGGTAATTCAATATCTATTGAAAAAGTTATTATTGTCGAAATCATTATTTTTAGTTTTAATTACTACTTGTATTTCGAAACATTGATTATCACTAATCTAAATCGTATGCCTACAAGATGGCGCTAAGCTAAAATTTCAACTATACATATTATTTACTATATTCTTAGTTAATATTTAAAAGTAGAAGATAAATTATTTTTGATAGACTACGACATAGTCTTAATTATATATTTAGTTATAATTACATTTTATTTATTATTTGAACTCATTAATTTCTAACCCGAATAATAATTCTTAAATAATTATGTATACAAGAAACGCAGATTATTTTACTTCTTATACTTTTTAAAATTTCATAGTGATATATAGTCCCAATATTAAAGTATAAAATGACATAAGCGACTTGAATTTTGACATATAGGAGTCATAGTTTACGCTAAGTTTCGTTTTTACAAACTTTTAATTTGTTCTCGGCCTTTGGGACCGTTGTGCGGTACCGGTCGAGTGCTTAAACCGTACAATAATAATATAATGATCGATAGGTAAATCGCATACAGAGATTCCGGAGCAAAACTCTGACTATGGACAAGGACTCATTATACATACATATACAGTAGAACTCCAATTATTCGAACTCCGACTATCCGAATCGTCGATTATCCGATCCGTGACCTGGCTGCCCGAAAACGGTTGAAGACCGCAAAACAGCTTACATTGACGGAGATGTTTAAAAAACAATGATTTTTATTTCTTAACTTGTACATAAGTACATTTTATTTATATTTAAAACATGTGAAAATTTCATGTTTCTTTCATTTAATTCAATAAAAAAATAGTGCAATATCAAAACGTAGCTTTTATTCTCTCCAATGGCAATTTTTTTTTAAAAATCTGACTATCCGAATATTTGATTATCCGAATGGGTCCCGGTCCCCATTAATTCGGATAATTGGAGTTCTACTGTACATACATATATTTTTGTTAAAATGGTAATGAGACTATACCAGCAGCAGAATATTTGATGCTTTGCAATTTTAATAGTAATAACGTAATTTGAATATCATTATCATATTAATGGCTCGGTTGAAAGTACATAAAAATCGATTTTTTTTGTGTATTTCCCAAACCAGACTTCACTTAAACAGAGAAGGTAGTGCAATAAAAAATGAATTTAATTCTTATGTTGTTATTGCTTCCTGCTGTATTAACGTGAGTAATAAACCCGTTCGAATGTTATGTATTATTCTTGTTCTGTTTTATATTGTATCTGTTTTTAAAAAGATAATCAGATAAACTAACGTAGTTTTACTCTTAACTTTTTTTAAAAACATTCATATTTAATTCGTATTACATAAGATATCGTCCACAATTTATTTAATTATGTTCATTTTGAATTTCGCTTAAGATTCAGTGAGTTCGTAGTAAAACACATAGGGTGATGTACCGAAACGGGAGTAAGCCCTAAATGTGACTCCCATATAACACATTGGATTTTGACATAAGGGAGCCATAAAGTGTCATTTCTGAATCTCTCTCTAATTGCTTGAAGTCCCAATCCTGTCAGCTTGATAGCTTGTCCAGACGCGCGTGAAATCGGATGAGCCTAGGTGTTTGGGTTGTAGGTACATGGTTTTGTTATAAACAGATAGGATAATTTGAGTTGCGTTTTTGAAAAATACTACACAGAGGAAACTCTTTATAACATTATCTCTTATAACGAAAATAGACAAATTTATATATATTTATTTGGTTAACCCAATACCCATACATTAATTCTTGCCTTCCTATAACGAAACCTCTCTATAACGAAACCTCTCTATAACGAATAAAAATGCTAGGTCCCTTGAAATTCGTTATAAAGAGTTTATCTGTCCTTACCTATTTTTTTTTTCAGAAATGCCAATATCAATCGAGACTATTATTTGTATTCCGACGAAAATATTTTAGAAGTGAGTAAATTTGTGGAATGCTGTCCTTGTCCAAGTAATGTGCAGTTCTCGTTGTTATCCAGTGGTCCATCACAGTCACAAGAACAAAGCAAGGACATTCCATGGGATGAAAATAATATTCCGGTATGCTCATTAAGACTCATTTAATAAACTCTAGACCACAACTAAAAACTAAGATAAAATTGGTAAAAAAGAAAAATATCTACTGCAATCAAATCATCACGTAAAGTGTCGGTTCCAGAAGCTACTGAGCCATTAAGGGTTTCCTCTGACCTAGCCCTAATAATTCTCATTAGGGCATTAAATATACATACATACCTATTCCTTTTCCCTTGCTTTCACCATTCTGTGCCTGTTATCTAGAAGGCAGTTAGGCATAAATCACCGATAATTAGAAATCGAAACTATCTAAATTGCTTGTCTTAAAATAACATAAAAAAACTAGCTGACCCGGCAAACGTTGTTTTGCCATGTATATTATTTCTAGGAAATATTTTTTTAGCTCAATAAAAATAACTATCTTCTATAATAAAAATAGGGGTTGATCGTAGAGGGGTGAAAATTAGGGATTGTATGTATTTTTGTATGCTGTATCATAAAAAAATAAAGCAAATTATCTCAGACATACTGATTATATAAAAAAAATCATAAGAATCGGTCGAGCCGTTTCGGAGGAGTATAGGAACGAACATTGTCACACGAGAATTTTATATATATAGAGATGTATTTTTTCCATGATTTGAGTTTCTTTTTCTCCACAGACTGACAAACGACTGGACGAAATGATGAAAGTAATGAATAGAATTGGATAAATCTCTAAAAAGACATGGGTTTCAAAATACTTACGTCGGCCAAAAAGGAAATTATGACTCGGAATCGGGAAAATTGTTATTGGATTTAAACACGTTTAATAAGGTTTAAAAGATAAGAAACAATTTTAAGTGCGGCATAATATTTATTATTACATATTAAGTAAGAACATTGAATTGTTAAAATAGAGTTATAGGCTTACTTTTAAAAACAATAAATCTTAAAATATTGAAGTAAATAATCTTTTAATACTGATAGTATTAGTATGCGCATTAAAAAAACCGATATGCTTCTATAATAATAAAATACTTGTTCGAAAAATCTCTGTTTTACTACCGCAAGATATTTAGACAAGTCCTTTATTAGTAAGCGTTAAATACTTTGTTAATCTTCAATGGAGCTACTCGACTCGTGGCAGAAGAGGTGTCAACCTGACGGGAGTATCCTCGACCAGAGGTACCACAGACTGGACGACCCAAAGGCCTCAGGTTGAGAAGTTGTATATATCCTTAGCGGTCGGAATAACTTTGCTGGCGCGAGGGGTATATGGTTATCGTGTCTTTTTGTAGTTGGAAAGTTGTAGAATGTTTAATTAACATCTACTAACTTATGAGTTCGGAACTATAATAATAATTCAAAGTTAAGTATTTCAGTTAAGCAGTTTTACAGAAACATTTGTGGTATAAGAATTTACTAGTTAATTATATTATATACTAGTTAATTCTACGCCGTGACTATAAGCCGTGTTTATTTATTGTTATTTTACTGTTAGCTGGTAGATCCAGAGCTTACTATATTCTTTCTAATATTGCTATGTCATACTAAGTGAAATAACTCATTTAAGCATATTGGATATAATATTTAAATTAACAAACTAATCTATTTAACATGCCGTACACACGCCGTTGTTATGCTTCGCTCGTAAAAATATGTCTCTTAGTGGTTTTTAGTAGGCCTGGAAACAAATTAAAAAATAATACATGAAACGTAAACACAAAGATTTAGTCAAAAGTTTACAAAATGCTAACACCTGGAATATGTTTAAGGTTGTAATCATATTAAGATAGCTAACATGACTTAAAGAATGTATTTTTTTATTTAAATTAGACTTTAAGGAATAGAACTATGAGGTCTAGTTAAGTCTAGGCTTAAACAAAAAATTGGCGTGTTACAAAAACCTTAGAAAATCATGTCACCTGTCTAACAAAATAACCTTATTAGGTTACTTTTTTTTAACCGCTATAGTTTGTATTAATTTAACCATAGCAGTCTTGTTTAGGAGCGCGACAAATGCATATAAAAGTAGTTTTTTAATTAACTGTTTATGTTCGTTGGCGTTAGGCATTCTAATATCTGATTGGGTAGACTATTTATTAGCCGCGGTAGCAAATACCCTAAACTTACTTGAACTTGGGAGAAAAACGCCTCCTCCTTGTTTCATTCGTAGATTCAAAGGATTCAGCTTCTGAGATGAGTTCCTGAAAAAAATAAGCCATTCATATCGACCTGTAGTCTATATAATAAACTTTGTTCATTATAAAATCCCCTTACGACAACTATAAAAGCTCTAACAAAAAGATTTGAAAATCTTTATTTAATTTTTTTCCATAACTCCCATCCAATTTTATTGTTGTGTATTAATAATATTAAAATTCGCTTAACGCCCAACCTTCATCCAAAAAATCAATATCTACGATGTAATATCAGTACCTCTGATGTTACTCTAGCTAGCTCGTCCTCCTTGGGAGGTCCGTATTCCTTAAATCCAGGTGGTCCGTACTCTAGAAATCCTTCAGGGGCTTGCTCCAAAGACCTTTAATAATAAAGTAATGTTAATTATGTTAAGGAAACACTAAAAATTAATATTATTTCACTTACCCAGAGAATTCTGGATATGAGGACTCCTCATTTTGGGTTTCAGTTTTTTCAACCTACAATTATTGCAAAAAAGTTTAAAAACGTTGATGTTATACCAGTATCTATGAGTATAAGTAAATTTCTAATTGTGTAGACTTCACACTAATAAGTAATTAATTAATTACCTGTGTTATATCGTTGTTCACATTCGTCAATACCTCTGGAATGTTTTGAACAACCTGTTCAAGTGTTTTTTGTTCATTTTCTTCGGTTTTTTGTTCCGTTTGTTCAATATGTTCAACATTTTGGGTATTTTGACTAAAGTTTTGAATATTTTCTTCGACTTCCTGTTTTTCTTCAACGTTTTTTTCACTTTGCTCTATTTTAACACCACTTTCTTCAATTTTTTCGATATTTTCAACAATGTTTTCTGAAACTTTTTCTATGGATTCTTCAAAATTTTGTACAATTTGTTGGACAGTTTGTTCTAATTCTACTTTAACGGCAGTCAAGCTGTTGAGAGCCTCAGTAGGCTCTACCAAATTATCTTTGGTCTCATTTGTAGTAGAATCATCGGTGTTTGCAACATCTGCTTCAACTGAATTTTGAACATCTGACGTACTTGTTACTTCGACAGGTAATGGAGTCTCACTTACAGTAACATCCTCATTTTCAACAGAACTAGTTACCACAGCAGATTCTGAGTTGTCTTGAATAATTAGTATGGGAACTTCAGCTAGTACCGTTGTGGTTTCAACAACTTGAGGTTCTGTGACAGATTCTTCTTGTGCTAGAATATTAAATATAATTATTATTATGAAAATTAAAGGAAACATAGTCTTATAAGTAAAGGAAAATAAAATTACCTTTAATGGTGGACGCTTCAGCAACATCATTTGATTTTTCCTCAGAAACTTGGTCTGTAACTTCCTGAGGCAACTCTGTTGCAATCAAATCTTGAGATTCTTGGAATTTCGGGGGTTCAAACTCACGTGAAGCATCTTCCGAGCCATTTAGGGTTTCCTGTTGATATTTGTCTGCTGATGTCTGTAATTAATATTAAATATGACAATAGAATCAGAAAAAATAGTTACGATAAGGCAAGAAATACACGAGTCACGTTCATTCATAGTAAGTGATATTCAGAAAATTAACATTATCTCTAAAGTTCTACTTACAAATGTAAGGTCTATGTTTTCATTTGGTAAGTCCTGCTTGATGACTTCCTGGGATACCTTGGGAGGGCCGTATTCACGAAGAGAGTCAGACCCAGAGGCTTCCGAACCATGTAGAATTAGATCTTTGAGTGGGTCTGTTGAAGCCTGTAATGAAATTTGTATGACGCGACAATTTATATGCTTCAGTAATATTAAAACGTTCTATGGCCTGAAATCATTTCCTTATGTTATTTTCTGACTAATACACTTCTGTTTCTATACAATAAAAAAATACCCAGTTCCTAATGATGGGAAAAGAAAAGTACTTCTACGAACTGGTATAGACAATGTTATAATTTTTATAACCCTTCATTAACAATCAGCTTTTCGACCAAACTAAATTCAATATTATGGTATACGTTCTCATAATATGTTACCTGTTGAGTGGGGAGATAGAAAGCGGGACCGTCTGGTCGCCAGCCACTTGGAAGGTACGGACCAGACCCACGTGCGGAAACTGATCCAAGGGCCAAACATAGCAGAGCAAGAACCTGTAAACGGGGTAAATTTACTTCACATCGGTTTTAATAATGTTTCGATATATCAGTAGATAAATATAATTACACTTCAGAATTTACAAAAATATTTTCAAAAGTTTATTTTATTGATGTTTTAACAGATTTTTCAAATGTTGCACGTGACGAAAGAAAGAAATGAAACAGAGTTTTGGTAGTTTTAAATATTATTTACAAATAGCTTGAAGATTTTTAAAAATAATTGATAATACAATAATACAATGTATATCACAAAGGAGGTTTTCTCAATTTAACTACGCTTCAACAGATAAAAACATTTAAAAATAATACCTTCATTTTTCCAAGCCGTTTGAGATCCTTTGGCGTGTGTTGAATAATGATATCACCAAAAAATTGTCCGTATATATAGTACACTTGATCGATATATAATTAAAAACAAACACACAGAACATAACAAATATTTGACATAACTAATTAACTAGATTGCGAATTAAAAGAACGATTCAAGGTTTTCGTGTATGTAGTACTAGAAGTTCTTAGAAAATTATTTTAATATTTTTATACCATGTGTGCAAGACAAAAGACTTTGTCAAACAATAAAATATTTTGTGCTACAAACTTTAGCTTTTCAATTGTATATAATGTCTTATTATGTAATATTCTCGTCATGGGAAAAGACAAAAATCAATTGCGTTTATATATGGGTATGTTTGACAGACTGATGGAATTAATTAAAAACCAATGAGATTTTTCCCAAGGCATAACTTAAAAATTCTTACATGAAGTTCTTTGAATCTAGTCTCATCCTTTCACGATTAATTGTAAATAAATTTAATTAAGAAATGTTTAAATACAGTAGGTAATTCTATAGATTATTCTTCATTGAATACTGAAGCTTTTTTCTAAAAATGAGTAGTTAGTTATGTTAGACAAAGATATTAATGTCAGTTTTCGAGATCATCCGACGCTTTGTACACAATGTATTATGAATGTAATAATTAAATTTAGCTGATTAATTACGTTATACTTTTATATCGAAGCATAAATTAACTTATACTGTTGACTTGACATACAATCTTGTGTTGGATAAATGTACTATTATAGGTATACGGGAAACTTACAACGGCAATAACGAAAATTAGAATAGCGTAAAGCACATTCCCTTTTTACATATTTAATTTGTATAAGTGAGTTTGCTCACGACCCAATTAATTTGCCAACGATTAAGTACACAATGCTTTACGTAATTTTGATGAAATCATAGTTTTGCTATTTGATTATATAAATGGCTTTTTATACCTGTGGTGTTCGTGAGATAAACACGTGCGTAATTTTAAAGGTATTGTATATATCGGTTCAGAACGAATCGCTTTTGGCTTAATTATTACTTTACTTATAAGTAATATAGCAATTCAAAGCTTACAATAGAAAAAGTTTTTCATATAAATATTTATTGCATATTGAATCATACATATTTTTAATAAATATAAACATTTATCGATATAATTAAGAGTGATATTATTAATTTAAACACCAAAATGGAAGCATCAAAAAATAAATTAGTCAGTAGCCGCTACGCGCGTTGCCATGGTTACCATGACCGCCATTGAAACCGTTGTCATGGTTACCAAAACTGTTGCCATGGCTACCAAATCCGCTGCCATTAGAATCGTGTTCGTGGCTCCCGCGATTTTGGGCGTTTACATCATAGCCGGCTGTTAGGTCTTCAGTATCTTCATAGGATATTTGAGGCTTGAAACCACGTTCGTCTGCTTTGTAACTTACAGTCTGAAAATATATGATATAAAATTCTGTAAAAAACTAAACTATTTCACTTGAAATAATTTATGATTAGATATAACGTTTAAAATTTCAACACTGTTACCTGTTTTCTACCATCAGGCAAAACCACATGATATTCTCCCTCTGCCGTCTCCTCCTGTCTCTCCTCCCGATGACCAAACTCTGTCCCCTGTAGGACGTCATTAACCATGTACCCAAAATTGTAGTTGGCTGGCTCCTAGAAAATTAGTATAAGTACCGTTAGCAAAAACCTATGAGTATAAAGATATTAAATGTTTCATTTTCCAAATAGTTTTAAGTACTTATACTAATTTAATATGTTTATTCAAAAATAGCTTACAAAGGACTGTGTGCATTTTTTTTTCTACGTAACTATTATCGCTAAGCCTAAGAATAAATGGAAAGGTTCGGAACAAGTTCGTCACAAACTTGCCTGACATAGTGTCCAGTTTTATTAGATTCGCAGAAGTTTTTAGGTTATGCTACGCAAAATATGCAGGACCGAATTTATGGGACGGCAACCGGGGCTACGGCCTCGGGGCCTCCACAAAAGAGGGGCCATAAACACTTGTAAACCACTTTTCTTTTGAAATATTTATACATGTTTGGTAAATACTAAAAAAATCTATTTGGTACTGACGATTCACGACTGAAAAAATCCTTCATTATATTTGGAAAATAATTTAGGACCAGGAGGCCTCCACACCTCTAAATCCGGCCCTGCCCGGCTTACGTGACAAGTCTTAAACCAAAATAATCAGTGAAGGTTATATTTCCTTGATACAATTATGAAGTTTGATGAGTTATCCCCTCTTTGTTCTACTTACACTAGCCTGTTCAATAGCGTTTCTGCCAACTGGTACGGCGCTATCGTAGCCATGTTGGTTTCCATTGAATCTTGCTATGGTATGGTCGTGAGTACCGCTTCTAAAAGACAATAGATGTGTCATAATATGGCTTATGAAATATGTATTGGTGACCGACTTTTGATGCATATTTGTTATATAGGATTTGTTGATTGTTCTTATAGATTAAAATATACATATATCAACTGGCAGTTTTCTGCATTCGAAATGCAATCGACAAAAATTAAGCATATAATTCTAATATATAAAATTCTCGTGTCACAATGTACGTTCCCATACTCCTCCGAAACGGCTCGACCGATTCTTATGAACTTTCTAATGCATATTCAGTAAGTCTGAAAATCTGCTACTATCTATCTTTCAAACCCCTAAGTAATAAGGGTATCCAGCCAAAAAAATTTTTTTTTAGATTTTTTTTTGTTTGTACTTTTTTAAGATACAAAATACAAAAATATGTTAAATACAACCTCTAATTTTTACCCCTCAACGAACAACCCCTATTTTTTATTATTGTAGAGTTTTTTTTATTGAACCTAAAAAAAATTTCTAGAAATAATATGCATGGCAAAAAAAGACGTTTGCCGTGTCAGCTAGTTTAATATAAATATAATAGATATACAGTAAAAATCTGTTATAACGACACCGAAGGGACTACTCATATTTGGTCGTGTAAACGTAGTCGTAACAGCCAATGACGTTGTTATTAAGTACCTTATACAATAGAATTCAGCCGGGACCTTTGATTTTGGTCAATATAACCGGTTTGTTGTTCTAAACGATGTCGTCGTAACTGGTGCTGACTGCATATTCTTTAATATTAATAATCAATAATCTTTTGTCGTTTTCTTATTTACTACTATATCTTATAAAGAGAGCACAGACCTCGCAAAGCCATTTGAAAGTCCCGCGCCTGGTAAAGTCCTAGCTGCTATGATTTGAGGAGCAATACCAGCTTGAAAAGCTGGACCCGAAGGTGATCCTTGGCTGTAGCCAGCCCTTCCACCTGGCGGTGGTGGTAGGTAGCTAAAAAACGATTAATTTTTGAAACAATGTTATTTGCAGTACTTTACATATAGAAATTTCATTTTAATAAGTAATCTGTTTAGTTTTCATTCCGCAAGGCTATTTGTGAGACTAACTCATTTGTCTCTTTCTGACAGATAATGTTACCGCTGTGTTAAAAAGAGATAAGTTTAAATCTGTCGTGTTATTTACCTTTTAGAAATCGGTGGTTCAGCAACCACGGCCAAAGCAGTGACAGCAATAATTAGGAAAGTCTGAAAGTGAGCCATAGTTTTCTAATATTATCATATCTTTAACACATAATTTTGCACTAGGTATAAATTTTTACAGGAAATAAAATTTGTTTGAAATTTAAAATATTATTCGACATCAGTTGTCCTTAAGCAGCCACAAGGAAGTTACAAAACTACTTTATTTTACTTAATTATTTATCAAGAAGAAAATTATTATACATATTAAAAAAGGATGTTTACTTAAGAAGGTGAACTAGCCGCCACTCACCCCAGCTAGTCTCTTCCATTTGACATGTTAATGGTACTAGACATAATAATTTCTACTTAACACCTACATTTTATAATTAAACTATTGTTGCATATTAAGATTTTTACCGTTTCATAGGACAGGTAAAGAAGAAAGTGAAGCCCTTAAATTATTCACTAATATTATACTTTTGGATACTAATTATATATCGGTGTTAATGTCGTTAAAGCTTTCTAAATAATGATTGTATACATTCTTATCTTACCTTCATGTTGTAAGTTGGAACACAATGTAACTAATGTATCTGTTTGTCACTCATCAAAGCTTTTATACAATGTATCACTTGATGAGTAGGGGTTGAAATATTACTTGTCATTAGACTATAATAGAGACGTCAAGGCAGTCGCGAATTATAGAAACAGAAATCAATGGAGTCGCGATTTTTTAAATTAAATTTTTGCTAAAGCAGCTTCCATTTAATCTCACTCTTGCACTCGATTTGGAGTGACTGTGGTCGGTTTCTGGTTCACATCATTGTTTCGTCCCGGAACCACTGCAGTGTATCCAGTTGTTGCACTAATTAAATCGGTCCAACGGGTTGGAGATCGGCAGCGCGAATGTTTTCCCTCCACAAGCCTTTCTAAAGAAAATAAAATCGTAGGTCATATTGTATACTATAATCTGTTTTCTTAATCTATCTTCACGTGTTAGAACATCGCTAAAAGTAACTTAAAATCAAAAACCTATCAGTTTTCGAGGAATGGTCAGAGTTTACATCAAGTCTCGTTTCTAAATATTAAGACTTCTGTATATTATTTAAAAATCGAAATAAAAGAAATCTGAAGCCCAGTCGCAAAAGGTTGGAGCACTACTGTTTTTTTTATAATATAACAGTTACTCCTATGAGTTCTTTGTTCCTAGGGTGCATCCACAACGACGTGGGATATTTGTCATCCTTGGCTGTGACCTTACTCTACATAAAGCATAAATTCACCTACCAACCATACATACTATAATATCATAAGTATATAGTATATGTATATGAATTATTATTAAATTAAATTAACTCTTAAAGATTTTAACGCCTTCCGCTGAGAACTATAGACAATTATTGTAGATCAACAACATATCAAGACACGTTTTCCTAATTTGAATGAACAGTTT